GGAATGGGGAGAGAGATAGGGGAGGATAAAAAGGGAGAAATGGGGAGAAGGAAATGGGGGGGAAATCAAAATTGAAGGAAGGTAAATAATTGGTTTTTTTTTTTCTCCACCTGAAAATTGAAACGTTCGTCCGTTGCTCTCCGTTTCCCCTTTCCCCCCTCTTCCCTCCCTCTCATCGTCGTTGTTAACCGGATTTTTTTTAGGGGAGGAGGAGGAGAAGGGAGTTTTCTCTCGGTAAACGTTACGTTATTTAGAATTTGATTTCGAATTATACTCGTTGTCCGTTGTTTGTACAGAGAGAAAGCAACAATGTTTATTTATTTATTTATTTATTTATTTATTTACACAGTTAAGCAAACATTTTTAAAATTATATTATTATTATTATTATTTAAATTTGAAAACTTTTATTATATTACACTTATTAAAAAACAAACCAAAGGAAAAAAGGAAAAAAAGGAAAGAAAAAAAAAGGAAAAGAAAAAAAAACAATATTAAAATTCAAACTCGGAAAATATTAAATAAAAAATTTCGTAAGAAGGGGACGAGGGATGGGGGGGGTGGCGATGGGGATTCGATCAATTTTACGAAAAATCATAGAGATAGAAAATTTTTTTTTTGTTCTTCGTGTCCGGAAACGATTGATAAAGAAGATTGATGTAGTATTTAGAAAGCGAGCCGAGCGCGCGCGCCGGAAATTTTTTATTCTTTTTATTTACTCTATGACGCGTTAAAAATAAATTTTACCAACCAACACTTTAACGTCGTTTTCATGCGTCGATAATAATGATAATATTAGAATTTTATTTAATATAATGACGTCGTCGAACCTGTACAACAACAACAATAAAACCTCATCGAAAACTTTTAATTGAATTTATTTATTTATTTTCTGAACAAAATAGGATTTATTTAAATTATGTTTTAATAATTTTTTATTTATAACAAGAAGGATCGATTTATTTAAAAAAATTTTTTTTTTTTTTTATTTAAATGAAACTTTTTAAGCCGAAAAGGATAAATTTTTAATTTAATTTTTTTTTTATAAGAAAGAAAAAAGTTAAATTTTTATTTCAAAGTTTTGTAAAAAAAAAAAAAAATGGTTGAATAAATAAAAATAAAAATAAAAACGACTTTGAAAATTTTTTTTTTTTTTTATATAAAGCAAAATCGTGTTTGTCGTTGTTGTTACTACTCAATGGCGTAAACCCGGAAATACGTCACAAATTATTATTATTATTTTCATTTTTCATTTACGACGTTTTATTTTTAACGAATTCCCGGATTTTTTTTCGAAAGAAAGAAACGGACGTTTAATTTTAATTTTCCTTCTGCTTTCAGTTTTCCCCCTCCCCCTCTTCCCCTCCACTTCTCCCCACCCTCGTGTATTTCAACAACATTTTTAAAAATTTAATCGTTTAGTTAATAATAATAATAATAATGACGATGATGAATAATTTAAATTTAAATAAAAAAATTTTGTTTCTTTCTTTTCTTTTCTCTCTCTCTCTCTCTCTCTCTCTCTCTCTCTTTTTCCGTTATTTATAACGTTTGAAATTTTTTTTTTTTTTTTTATTAAAAATAAACACAGCAAGAGGGAAAAAAAAGTTTTAAATTTTAAAAGACAAGTTAAATTGGTTTAAACATAAATTTTTTTTTACCTCCATTTGTAAAAAAAAGGAAAATCAAATTTTCATGATTTGTTTTTTACTATTATTATTATTACTTATTTATTTCGCATCCGCGTGCATTTTAAAACATAATAATCATCATCATCATCATCACCATCATCATCGACGTGTTGGTCGGTTGGTTGGTTGTTCAGACACGATCGTAAACTTTTTTTTTTTTTACTTACTTCCACGATATTTTCTCGTAAAATTTAGAAAATTCTCATTGGAAAAACATTATTAGAAAATAATTTGATTGAATTTTTTTTAAAATTTTTTTTTACGCATGCGCATTTTTATTTTTTAATTCAAAGCCATTCGTTACAATCCTCTTACGAGATTAAATTCTATATATATGTGTGTGTGTGTGTGTGCGGGTGCAAACGATACAAAGTTAAAAAAAGGTTTTCCCTCCCTTTTGTTCCTTAATTTATTTTTTAAAAAATTTTCCAAACGAATAAATATTTTATTTAAACGCACACGTAAACATAAAGAAAAGGCCGCCCCCACGAAAAAAGGGAGAGAGGGGAGGGGGAAAATGTATTTTTAACATTCGCATAATTTAAACGGTGACGTTTTTATTTATTGTCAACTTCGTGAACCACCAGGAAAAAACAAAAAAAAAACGGTTAACGGTCCCCCACCCCCGATAAAAAAAAAGATAAAAATAAACGCGATAAGTTTTTATAAGTAAAAGTCACGTGATTAAATTAATCACCGCACGTGAAGTAATAGCATAGAGTATGAAAACAAAACAAAAACAAAAAACAAAAAATGGCGACGCGCATACAAATTGTAAACAAATCGAAACAAATGGGGAAAAAAATAAGTGGGGGGTTGAATGGGTGGGTGAGAGAGAGGAGGGGTTGGGTGGATGGTTGAGAGGGAAAGGGAAGGGTAGGGGGAAACAGAATCACGAATGAAAATCACGTTAAAATTAAGGGAAACCTTAAATTAAATTAATGGCGAAATGATAATAATCAAAAATAATCGCGTAGGAAAATAATTAAATTTTTTTTTCTTTGGGAAGGGGGGGGGTTTCGAAATGATGATTGGATTTTGTTAGGAAGAAAATTAAAAAAAAAGAAAAAGAAACAGATAAATAAAAAATGTCACGATGAAAAGAAATCAATCGATCAATCAATTGTTTTTTTTTTTAAAAAAAAAGTTAATTAAAATTATTAACTCGTAACGAAGGAAAGAAAGACGATCGGAAAATTATCAAAAGAAAAAAAAAGTAAAAGGAGGAAGTATGAAAAGAGAGTGGGGGTGGGGGGTGGGAAAACTATAAAAGTTTTTAAACAATTTTTACTTGAGTTTGGTTTCAAAAGTGGCTTTCAGTCCTTTTAAGAACGTTCAACCGTTTTCCCTTTGATGGGACAATAATTTCTTGGGGGTTACCGAAAGATTTACGAAAAAAAAAATTTTTTTTATTTTATTCTATTCGGTCGAATAAAAGGGGAAAACGAACAAACAGACAAACAAACAACACAGACAAGCGAACAAACGAAAAAAGTTGGCTCGGTTAAAATTAACAAAGTTTTTTTGGAATCATGAACAAAAAAAAAGCAAAAAAAAAAAAAACTTTCAAGAATTATTTAAATCGTTTTTTAAAAGTTTCCTTTTCCCCCCTTTTTTTCGTCCACCTCCCCCTCTCCCCTCCCCCTCTTGGCATCATTTAAAACTGAAAGCTTTTTAATAATTACTGTGTAATAATAATAATAATAATAAAATTCTTTTTCTTTTTAAATTGACCTCTTGTGGAAAAAAGAAAAAAAAAATTAAACGTCAGGACTTTTCTTTTTTCTTTCTTTTTTTAGGGGGGGGAAAGGGGTGAAAGGGAGGGAGGGGAAATGAAAAGACGTGGTAGAATAATGGAAAAACAAACTAACTAGGTAGAGATAAATTTAAAAAAAGAAAAAAAAGAATCAACGACCCAGAAAGTTTATCTCTCTCTCTCTCTCATTTTTTTTTTTTAAATAAAAAAAGGATAATTTGTGTTTGATAACCCGTAAATATTATTACAATGCAGGCAACATTATAAAAAAAAAAAAATTTTTTTTCTTTCGATTTTTCGCGGGTGGAGGGATGAGGGGGGAGGAAAAGATCGATTAACGCGTCATCATAATAGTAATTAATCTTTTTTTTTTTTCGGAACAATGTAAACAATTAATTTAAATGCCAATACCACCTGATACCGATTTCATGCCGCGGCTTTTCTTTTTCACTTCCGCCCCCCACCCCCCGTCGTGTAATTGATATTTTCCTTTTTCCTCCCCACTCCCCTTCTCTCTCATTTTCACCTTATTCGTATTAAGATTATCTTGTTCGAAGGGTTTTCGCGTTTGTATTTTTTTCTGCAACGATTGTTATTCGATACGATTTTTTTTCTTCTTCCCGATTATTCCTTCGGCGTTTGTAATTCCATCGTGTGTTTGCTGTTGTCAGCGCGATAAATTCCTTAGAGTAAATAAACAAGATTTTTTTCCCTCGCGTTTGAGCTTTTTCACGCGTTTATTTATTTTACGCATTGTTAATAACAAACAAAATAAAAAAAAAAAGGAAAAAAAAAAAAGGAAAAAAGGTTGTTTTTTCCGATTAACTTTTTCAATTAATATTTTCCTTCCATTTTGTTTTTTTTTTTTTTATATATAAATTCTATAAAAATGGAGGTTTTTTTTTTTTTTAATTGTTATTAAAAAAAAACAAAAAAAAAATTTTTTTTAATTGAAAAACCACAAATATTTCTCCACTACTCATCGATGTTTTACTTTTCCCTAGCCCCCCTCTTCTCCCCCTCCTTCCTTTCATTTTTCTTCTTCTTTTCGATAATAAAAATAATAATAATAATATCAAAAATAAAATTTTCTCTTTTTTTTTTTTTTTCTTTTTCATCCGACGTCGCCGCCACCGCCGCCGCCATTTTCCGTTCCGGATCGAAAAAAAGAAAATTTTTTTCTTTATTTTTTTTTGTTATTTTTCGTTTTAATTTTTTTTATTTCTTGTTTTATGGATGGAACAAAAAAAAAAGATGAAGAAGAAGACAAAGAAGAAAAATAAAAGTTTTTAGTTGGTTTTTTTTTTTTTTTTATTTTCCTCCGCCTACTACAAACTATCATGAATTTTCTCATTAACCCTTTGACCTATCGGACGCCAAAATGTCTTAACTATCATGTAACTTTTTATCATTTTCGATTATTTAAATTATTATTATTGTTATTATTACTTTTTGCAGACTACAACAACCGCAGACTAGACAACGACAGCACGATGATGATAATGATGATGATGATTTGAAAATTAAAATAATAATTATTATTTTTTCTTGCAGTTGCTGTTGTTGTTGGATTTTTTATCTGTTGGGCTCCGTTTCACGCTCAAAGACTTGTTGCCATGTACGGACATTTAGATGAAAATCCAAGCAAGACTGTTTACGTTGTTTATATTTTTCTTACGTATATCTCTGGAGTTTTATATTATTTATCGACCACGATAAATCCGCTTCTCTATCACATAATGTCGCATAAATTCCGTGATGCATTTAAGGTAAGTCACTCTCGAATTTTCTCCCTTCCCCCCCACCCCCTGAAATTTTCCCAGTTATTAACCGGTTGAATCTTGTATGAAATTTTCCGACACTTTTCTTTATCTGTATATATATATATATATATACACAACATCCCTTTAGGATTTTCTTGTTTTAGCGAGAAAATCTTTTGAACTTTATTCACGCGAAGAAAATTTCCATTTTTGTCAATCAATCAATTTTTTTTTTTTGGTTTTCCCCCCCCCCTCCCCCGAAAATTATTTTCGTAAATTCGTCAACGAACAAAGGAAAGTATACGAAAAGGAATGAAAAGAAAAGAAAATGTTTTCGAAAAGAAAGATGGAGTAAAACAAAAAAAAAAAAAAAATTTAATTAATCATCGTACGAAAAAAAAAACAATATGGACGATAAAAAAAAAAATACGAACGAATTTTCTTTTTTTCTCTCTCTCTCACTCTTTCTCTCTTTTTCTCTTTTTAAATGTCAAAGGATAAAGGTTTCATTTATATTATTTATTTTATTAACATTTTCACATTAATACGTACATATTTATTAATTAATTTATTTGGAAAATCAATTTCAATATCAATCATTATTTCCGATTTATGACGTGGCGTTGAGTGATTGGGAACAGTGTTGCCACCTATTTAATAACGATTATTTATTTATTTATTTTCTCTATGGAGAGAGAGAGGGAGGATGGGAAGATTTTTAACGTAAGGATTGTTTTTTTTTTTTTTTGTATGCCCTCGAGTATATCAAAAAAAAATTTTTTTCTCTTTTTTTCTTCTTCTAATTATTTTATTTAAAAAATTAATTACGGTGAGTGTTCCGAGAATTTTTTTTTTTAATTGCTTGAATTAAGAGTTTTTTTCTTTTTTTTATTTAATAAGCTACATTTAGATTTATTTTTATTATTATTATTATTATTATTTTTTGAAAAATTTATACTTTTTTTTTTTTTTTTACGTCTTTCTTCACGATTCGGTTTCCGTTTAAAAAATTCAAGTTTAAAAAAAAAAAGGGTAATAAATTAAAACCGCTTTTTTAGAAGTCGGAAAATTTATTTATTTTCTCTCTCTCTCTCTCTCTCTCTCTCTCTCTCTCTCTCTCTCTCTCTCTCCCACGAATTAAAATGTACGCCATGTTGGATTTTAAATAATTAAAAACAAACAAATATTCATTAAAAAAATAAATTTTTCTTTTTTTTTCGATTTGCATCGATTGTTTTTTTAAAATTTCGTTTCTCTCTCTCTTTCTTTCTCTCTCTCTCTCTCTCTCTCTCTCTCTCTCTCTCTCTCTCTTTCTCTCTCTTTCTCTCACGTAAAACTTTTAAAATTTCGTATCAAGGCTATTTAAAATATCGAAAATTTTATGAATGAAATGGCGTTAATATTATTATTATTATTATTATTATTTTTTCGTAAATTTTAAATTTATTTTATTGTTCAGGAATAAATAATAATGATAATAATAATTCTGTCAAAATGATATTAAAATCATTCAAAATGTTTTTTTGTTGTTGTTGTTGTTGTTATTGTTGTTATTTGCAATTTTCGTCTGCTCATTTTTTTATTTTTTCTCTTCCCTTGAAAATAAAAATAAATAAATAAATAAATAAAAAAAAGTTATTCCTAGCAGATTCTTTTTATTTTATTACTGTTATTATTATTTTTTTTTTTTAACAATCGAAATATTTTTTTTTTTTTTTGGGGGGAACCATTTTGAAAAATTATTCAAGCTCTATTACGTTCAGAAAGAAAAACAATAAAAACATTTTTTTTTTTTTTTTATCTTCTTTTTTTGTAATTCATTTTTCATCGTAAAATGGCAACACTGTGTTAAACTACTACCACGTTTTTGTTTATCGATATCGTAAATTTAAAATAATACGCAATTAAAATTCAAAAAAAAAAAATGAAAAGAAAAGAAAAATCGTAAAAATAATAATTTACGAGGTTTTTTTTTGGAAAAATGGCGTCTTTCAATTTTGTGTTTTAGTCGTCGTATTAATTTTCATTACAATTTTATTTATTTTTTTTTTAAACGAAATTACGATTATTATTATTAAATTATTTATTATATTAATAATAATAATAATAAGCATTTTTTTCGTGGAACATCTCCGTAGAGTTTTTTTTTTCATGTCAAACGTCACAATTAATGCTAATTGAATGTCGACGTATTGTATTGAATACTCCTGTAATTTTTCTTTTCAATTTTATTGTATTGTATTTTCCCTCTACCCCTCCTCCCACTCCCCATTTTTCTTGTTTGTTTTCTCCCTCTCTCGTTCTCTTACCTTGCTTCTCTTCCTCTCTTTCTCTTTCTGCCTGTTTGTGTCACTTCGTCCCTTTCTCTCTCTCTCTCTCTCTCTTTTTCTCTCTCTTTCTTTCTCTCTCTCTCTCTCTCTCTCTTTTTCTCTCTCTTTCTCTCTCTTTCTCTCTCTCTCTCTCTTTCTCTCTCTTTCTCTCTCTTTCTCTCTCTTTCTCTCTCTCTCTCTCTCTCTCTCTCTTTCTCTCTCTCTCTTTCTCTCTCTCTTTCTTTCTGTCTCTCGTTCTCTCACCTCGCTTCTCTTCCTCTCTTTCCCTTTCTATCTCTTTGTGTCACTTTTTCCTTCCCCCTCCCTCTCTCTCTCTCTCTGTTTCTGTTTCTATTTCACCCATGACATTAATCATTGTAGAATTAACTTTTCCACGTTAGATTTAAAATTATCCCTTTTCACAATTCGGTCACACAAACAAATTTGACTCGTTGAAATGAAAAATGTATGTACATTCCAAAAAAAAGTTTTTCCTTTCACTGCACCAGGTGTCGACAGGTGAAAAGATAAAACAAAATTACATTTTCGACTTACTTATTTATTATGCAAAAGATAAAAGAATAATTTTCAAAGTGTCTCAACCTTTTTAATTTCACTTTTTTTCCAAATAAAAAAGAATAATAATGTTAAAATTATATTTCAATTAATTAACAAAAAGTTTTCAATTACGATGCGGTATTAATTACTATCATTATCATTATTATTATTATTAATTCCAACATGGCAGAATTCTATGTTTAATTTTGGAGAATAAGAAACAAAAAAATTTGTTATTTAATCATCGTTTGAATAAGTGGTAACGGTTTTAACGTATTTATCTACTCTATGAAATAAAAATCGCGCGAAGGAGAACTGGCAACGTTGTAATTTCCTTCCATTTTGAAAATTGAAATTTCAGTTAAACGATTAAGTTTATTTTTTTTATTTACTTTTTAAATAATTTAAAATTTATTTCGATATTTCTTCGACAAACTGTGGAGATGAGCGACAGCAACAACAACAACAACAACAACAACGACAAACAGCTTTTTGACGTAATTTCTTTCTCTTTTTTCACTAAGATAAATTTCTTTTCTTTTGTTTTTTTTTTTCCGTAAAGTAGATGAAGGAAAGTGACATATGACGTAATAATCAAATTGTACCAACTGAATTTCAACGTTCGAATTCAACGTCTATTTTTTTTTGAGTAATTCGTCGTTTGTGACGTCATACATATATATCCTTTCACTTGAATTAAAAAAAAAAAAAAGAAAATTCAAAATGATAATAATAATAAATTTTATTTTACTTTTTTTTTTGTCAAATCCCAAATCAAAATATGTAAAAAGTTTTCTTCTTTTTTTTTTCCCTTCTTGTCTAAAAACCTTTTTCAACGACATTTTAAAAAAAAAAAAAAAAAAAAAACTTTTTATCTTACCTTTTTTAAACTTTTCTTTTTAAGTTTTATTTTCCTTTTTCCTTCTTCTTCTTCTCCATTTTTTCTTTTTAACAATAAAAATGGTGTCGTCGTATTCGAATCGAATAAAAAAAAAAAGAAAATTTACAAAAAATCGACAACAAAAAGAATCCCCCCTCGCCTCCCCCCGTTAACTTCTTTTACCCTTCATAAAAATTACTCTTATAATTACCATGATGATAATAATAATAATAATAATAATAATTGTCCGCGTGGGAGTTAATTTAAAATGGCCGCCACGTTAATACAAATTCAATATGGCAAAAAGTAAAAATTTTTTTTTTTCTATACCGGAAACGATGAATATTTCATTTAATTTATTAATAATAATAATGATAATGATAATGATAATAAATGAATATTCTTTTTACCATTGTTTTAAAACAATAACGGACAGTTTTTATTAATTAACTTGTCACAATAAGGGAGAAAAAGGAAAAAAGGAAAAAAAAGGAAAAAATCAGATGTGAAAATTTTATTTTATTTTTTTTTAATTAATAATTTTAGTCTTCTCCCTCCCTCTCTCTCTCTCTCTCTCTCTCTCTCTCTCTTCCCATCTTTCTCCTCTTTCCTCCTCCTCTCTCTCTTTCTCTCTCTTTCTCTCTCTTTCTCTTCCCATCTTTCTCCCCTTTTTTCCCCCTCCTCTCTTTCTCTCTCTTCTCATCTTTCTCTCCTTTTTCCTCCTCCTCTCTCTCTTTCTCTCTCTCTCTCTCTTCTCATCTTTCTTCCCTTTTTCTCCCTCCTCTCTCTCTTTCTCTCTCTCTCTTCTCTTCCCCCCCCATTTTCATTTGTGTTTTTTTTTAATACTTTATAATTATTATTATTATTTTTAATTTTAATTTTAATTTGTAAATATTTGTATCATGTTTTAATTAAAAAAAAATTAATTTTTTGTTTTTAAAAAGAGAGAGGGAGGGAGAGGGGGAAAAGGGGGGGGAAATGTGTTTTAGAAACTTATAAAATGTTTTGTGTTTTGAAACACGTTTCAAAAAAAAAAAGTTTTCAATCGTGTAATCGTTGACACCGCGGCACGTTTTAAAACAATTTTTTCGGGGGGGTTGTAATATTTAAAATATTTAATCCCGCGTAAATACGTTTGTTATCATATCGTTTATTTTGAGGTCTCATCAGCCCCCCACCCACCCCTCCTCCTTCCCGAAAAAATCCTCAAAAATTTTAATTTTTGTTTTATTGTTTCAGTCGACTCTCATGCAAATATTTAATAAAAAACAAAATAAAAATGGCGGAAAGCGTAAATTATACGTTTCGCTATCGAGATCGAACAACAACAACAAACAATCATTTAAAAGAAGTAGTAATAATAATAATAATCAAACAAATGCAACAACAAACGTCGTTTCATTTCAAATAATTGATAAATCAACAACCGGAATCGGAAATCGTAATTCAAATGAGGGAGAATGTGATATTTTACAAAAGGATAAAATATTAGAAAAAATAATCGAACAATCTTTTGAAGGTTCCAAAGAAAACGATAATGAAAAAGTAGTGGAAGCAGTGGAAGAAGCAGAAGACAAAAACGATGTGAAAAAATTAAATGTAACGATGACTACGATTATTAAAGAAAAAGATTGTCAAGCAATAAGATCGAGAGGATCGTCAAATTCTAGTCAAATAACATTAACGACATCCTATGGTAAAATGGACGACGATGGAAACGTTTTAAATACAGACACGACGACGACGACGACGACGACGACGACGATGAGAAAAAATATGGAGGAAGTGGATGATAATAACAAACAAAGGAAAAATGGTAAAAGCGGTTGTTATAAAAATTGCGGTGAAAAAAAGAAAAAAGGCGGTGGCGGTGGTGGTAGTGGTGGGGTCGGTTTTTCATCCCTTACGAACAGATGCATATTCAAAACGAAAACTCAATCGGCTACGCTCGAAACGATTGCGAAAAAAATTAAATTATTACCAAATGGAAAATTTACAAAATCTTCTTCTGCCACGACGACGGAAAAAAGGAAAACTTGTAATAATAATAATAAATCCGGTGTTAACCGTCATCAAAATAAAAAATTAACCAAAACTTTAAGTTCGTACACGATAAGCAACAGCAGCCTACAGGATTTAGACGAATCTGAATTTACGAGTTCAGAATTGGCCGAAATTATGGGTCAAATGAAATACGGACAAGAAATTCAGGTTTGAATTGATTGTACGAACCTTTTCGGAAAGGTTTTCTTGGGGGGGGGGAAGAGGTGAATAAAAAATTTTTTTGTAAATATTTTATTTAAAAAAAAATTTATGTAATAAGGCTGATTAATTGTCAATAAAAAATTTATTTTCTATTTTTTATTTATTTATTTTTTATTATTTATTTTCGAATGAAGTGGGCGGGGATAAGGGGAAATGAAAGAACCAATGAAAAAAAAGAATGAAGAAAATTATGGGAGAAAAAGGTACGTATGATAAGGAGAATGAGGAAAAGTATTAGCCAATCAGAAATTAATAATTTTTATTAAAAGGAGAATTTGAATGACGTAGATGGAAAAATGAACCAATAGGAAGTAAATGATAAGAGATGTAAAGGGACCAATGAGAAAATCGGAAATGGTAGTGGGGGAGGGGAGTAAATTAATAAAGATGAATGAGGAAAAGAAAAAAATCTTTTTGATGGGTACGTTTTATGTGATTTTCTCCATGGAAAAAAAAAAAAATATTTTAACGGTATAATTTCCTTTTTATAACAAACAAACAAAGGATAAAACAATCGAATCGAATTTAATTTTATTATCATAACAAAAGGATTAAATTTAAATAATTCCTTTTTGATTTTTTGCAACCTTTGAATTAAAACCTTTTCAACGGTCATTTCTTACTCAAAAAAAATGAATAAATTCATGCATTTTTCATTGGAAAAGCAGAAGACAACAGAACGATTCGATTTCTTTCTTAGAGAAAATTAAAAGAAAATTAAATTTTGTTTCAAGGAAAAACTTTTTCCTTTTTCATTCTCACCTTTGTTATTTTAATAAGTTGTAAATTTATTTATTTAAAATTGTCTTCTGCTTTTTATTATTGACATTATTGAAATGAAAAAAAATTATTTTATAAATATACAGGAAAAATAAAAAGTTTTTTTCCTCCCTCCCTCCCTCCCCCCTTTTTTTTATTGACCGTTAAAAATGAATAAAATTTTGATACTTTCAATTTTATTATTATTATTAAACGCTTTCAAATTCTTATTTATTATTTAAGGTCAATAAAAAAGTACAGATATATATACAAAATGATTTTATAAATCTTTTTATTTAAATTTTAATAAATTTATTGAATTAAATAATTTTCTAAACATTTTTATGTATATAAAAAATTTTTTTTTAATACAAAATTTCCTCTCTTCTCTTTGTGATTGTTTAACGTGAAATAATAAAAGGAAAAATATTCGGGTCGGTGAATACAAAAAATAAATTCTTTTCATTCGAATAATAATAATAATATTATTATTTATTGTATCTATTTTTCTTTTCAAAATGAATATATAACTTAAATATCGTATCGATTTTTTTTTTTGTTTTGTTTTTACTTATTTAATTTTAAATAAAATTTTATTTCTTTAAAAGTAAATAACGAAACGTTCAATTTTCAAACAAACTTTTTTCCCGCCATCTATCGACGAAACGTGCGCGGCAAATTTTTTATTTGCCGCCATCTATCGCCAAAACGTTTGCGGCAAAATTTTTTAGTTCCCCGTTTTCCCGCTTTTTACGTCATCGTAAACAAACAATTGACTTTAATATGGAATAAACGGTTAAAAAACCAAAACAAAAGTGAAATTATCAAACTTTATATTTCATTTTCAATTTTTTAAAAAATAATAATAATAATAATAATAATATATATATATATATATTTGTTAGGTACGACAATGACATTTTTTTTCTGCAAGAAAATTAATTTTGATTTGATAACCATTTGTAAATAATTTCTTCGTTTTTCTCCAACCAATTTATATTTTGTTTTATGTTTTCGATTGCGACTTTTCTTGCATTTTGTCCTGCTCCCGATTCCGGATACTTTTTATAAAAAGCTTCGACCTGAAATTCATTACGTCAAATCGAGTAACAAAATTTAATAAAAAAAAACAAATAGTGCGAATCGAATAGATATTGACCTCTTCCAATTCGACGGGTGTTGAAAATCCGTTCGTCACTACGGCAATGAACGTTCCCATGATTCTATGATAAAGAGTAAATCTTTTCACCAAATTTGGCCATTCGTTCCTGTAAAATTTCCAAACGATGGGATTTCCCACAGGATTCGACGATATGTATCCGAGAACTTGAAAATAATCTTGGGAACGTACGTAAGTTTCGTTTTTGGCCAATTCGAGGTACCTGTCGTGATACAAACCGTTAAAAACTTTTATTTTGAAACATTCCAACGAACGGAATGCTGACTGATTGATTAATTGATTGATTACCTAGACAAAAGCCAAGGTTCTCGAACGGATGCCAACGCATCTAATAAATTAATTTTTTCCTGTACGTTTTTCTCATTCAAATACCTGTTCCAGACCACGTTCCATTCGTTTTCTTTTCCAACCGCTTTCATACCTGAAATTTCGGTAAATGTTCGATTGTAATGACGTCATTCAATCCAAGACTAACACATAATAATATTAAAAGTAAAAATACTAACCGTAACGATAAACAAGAAAACGTACATCCGGATGAATTTTAGTTTCTGGATTTTTTATCCATTCCATGAAAAATGATCCAACGTCATCCATACATGCAGGAAGACCGGAATGACATGCCAAATCAAGAATTTTAACTCTTAAACGCCTACAAAAAACAATCAATCAATCAATCAATCATTCACACATTGTGACATTCACCTTAAATCTCAATCAAAGTTTTATTTTAACCTGTAAATGTGTGAATCGGTCGGTTTGACATTCCATGAAAATTGTCCATCTTTGGTCCCGTATAAACTTTCGACTAACGATCTCACATATTCCTGTCGGGAAAAAAGAATAAAAATTTGCGTTTTGGAAGGAGGGGGGGGGGGAATCAACAACTCAACAGAAATTTACTCTTATTTGTGAATAATAACGACTAGACGATAAATACTGTATGACTTCGTTTAATGCCGTCGATGCTGTCGCCCATGGTAAAAATTCTTTTTCTTTTTTCAAATATGATGTCATACCCAAGGCTACGGAATATTCAACTTTTCCAGAACCTGCCAGGGCAAAGACATCGTCTAAAAGATTTGCTCTGTCTCTTCTGTTCAAAGCCTGGAATTTCAACAGCAAAAAAAAAAAAAAAACAATTTGAATTTTCAAAAAAAACGAAAAACCTATCATAACAAAATTATTTAATACAAAACCTCGTGATCGGTTTTCAATAGATTTTCAAATTCTTTCCACGTGTCCAAATCGTAATTGACTCGATAATATCCCAAATGATTGTGATTTAATTTTACTAAATTTTTACCATTTCTCGGTATTTTACTTCCGCCCTGCGAACGCATCAACCACGTCAAACCCGATTCCCCTCCATCCACGACTTTATAATGAACGGGTACGTCCCACTTGTACCTGTTTTCAAGGGGGAAAAAAAAAAGTTAATCGAATTTAAATGCGTGGTAAACAAACGACAAACAAATACATTACTTGTAGGGGGATTCATCTACATTGTATTTTGTTTCGGCATCGGCTAAAAATCTTTGCTGCGTCAATACCCAACCGTCATTCGTTTTATTCACGTTGACGACGGGAAGACCCATTTGTCTAGTCCACGTGTCCATGACGTCACCGACGTTAACGCCACTTTCTTTTATTTCTTCGTTGAGAACGGACCAAAGATCCGTCGTGGCAGCATTTGAAAAAACGTGTTGTTTTAAATATTTTTGAATTCCTCTTTTGAAATTTTCTTCACCCATGAAACCCTCGAGCATTCTCAAAACTGCATGACCCTATAAAACGAAAACGACGATGGATAATTTTTTTTGTTTAAACAAACCAACGACATTTTTTGTTGTAACGGACGAACTTTATTATATGATATCTTATCGAATATTTCTGTTATTTGATCCGGATTGTTAACGGGTTGTATGATTGGATGAGACGATGCAAACGAATCTCTTTTCATAACGTCGTGAATTTGTTCGTGAATTGATTGTTCGAGCTAGAAAAAAAATTAATTTATTTTGAATTTAGTTCGTCATCAATGTCGCTTCTACGACATAACAAACAAACACAAACCATTTGCCAATCTTTACATTCGGGTATTCCATATTCAACGCCCTTATATTGCATGAAACTAGCGAAACCTTCGTTTAACCATAAATCATCCCACCATTTCATGGTCACTGAAATGTAAATTTGAATTTTAATTCTCTCTCTCCCTCTCTCTCAGATGAAGTACAAATAAATAAATTTTTAATAATTACCTAAATTACCAAACCATTGATGCGATATTTCATGTGAAACAACGGTGGCGACACGTTGCTTGTTCGAAGCAGAATTTTCATTATCGTTAAAGAGCAAAGCCGTTTCTCTAAATGTTACCAAACCCCAATTTTCCATGGCGCCCGATACAAAATCCGGAATGGCAATTAAATCTAAGAATGACGTCATATAAGTTCGTTATTGGAAAAAAATCAAAGTTGAAAATACATTTTACCATGTTGGTACCTAATTTCGGTAGTGCATAGGGTATATCAAAATAATCTACGTAATATTTTGAAACGGCTGCAGCAGCTGATTTTGCAAAATTTGTATTTTGTACTTGTTCCGGAGTAGAATAAACTCTAACGGGTAAAGATTTCCCATTGTTGTCTACAACAGCCACGCCGGAATCTTTGAAATCGCTGACAATGAAACAAACAAGGTATGTCGACATGGGTACGGTTTCTGGAAAATGTACGGTGACTTCATTTGGACCCGGTCCTGGCTCTTCTTTCTAATTTGGAAAAGTTAAAAAGATAGTTTTATCATTCATAATGAGATGGAAAGAAAGTGAAAGACTTTTTTATTTTACTTTACCAAAACATCCATATTGGACAAAACAGAATATTCATCTTTTGGTCGTACAACGCTTATTTTGAATTTTGCTTTTAAAGCAGGTTCATCGAAACATGGAAATGCTTGCCTGGCATCGACAGGTTCAAATTTTGTCGTTGCTATATTCCTATAACAAAATTTTTATAATTTTACATAAGTCAACATATCACCAACTTGTTTGTGTGCTACCCTACAAATTAGAAGTGTAATTAAATAATTAGCAGCATTAAAAAATGAAATTTTTCTCTCATGCTATGTTTATGTTAAACTTAATTGTAACCATTTGTCAGGTATTGTCTACTTTTTAGGTATAAATTAACAAAATCACAACAAATTTTACCTCTCTTCCTTTGTTCTGCTATCAGAATAAGAAGATTTATAGAATCCTACTATTTTACCAATTAAACTTCCCTTATATTCGAGAGTCACCCTGTAGATGCCAGGTTGTAATGTTTTCGAATTTGACACATTAAGAACCCAAAATTGATTTTTTTCACAAAATGAATTTTCTGTCTGTATGAAATCTCCATTTTCTCCACTTAATGTTGTTTTCAATACTTCTAAATTTTTTATATGAATCGGTATGTAAGACCCGACTTCATTTAATTTAATGGTGATGTTAACAGTTCCGACAAATGTTCCTTTTTGAAGGTCTGGATTAATTAATAAGTCATAAGTTATGGGCTTTATGTAGTCTGGTACCAGAGGATTTAACTGCCATTCTTCAACCATTTTTAATTTTTCTAATTTATTATTGACAGTTATGGTATTTAATTGTCTGCATATGTGCACCAACCTTTTTGATTTTCGAAAGATTTCTGCGGTGAAATATTATCAAACACTTTACTTTATTATCATCATAATATCATTCGATAAGGTTTTATCGAATGAAATTTTTAAATGTTTAACATTCTAATTTTCATATATTATTAATATAATAATTATTTTACTCTGTCAGTTTCTCGTCTCAAACATAAATAAATTATTAAAGATAAAATTAGAAATCTCATGAATAAATAAATATTAAACTTTATTAGTGAAAGTTAATGACTGACAAAAAAAAAATCATACATGTGACAATTAACTTGGAGAAACAAAAATTTTTTGTAATTATACCTAAAATTATTACTAAATAATTGTTAAAAATATGATAAACAAAATAAAATAACTAGTACATTAATAGATTTAAAACCAAATAAAAAATTTGAATATTTATTTAACCTGATTCTACTGAACGTGTAATAAAAAATTTTAAACTGGGAATTTTATAACAAAAAAAATTTTTCATTATTTAACCATAGAAAAAAATACTTTTTGCACTGAAAACATAACGTTGAGAATTTCTTTTTAAAAAAATCAACATTAAAACAACCTGTTCTTACAACAACAAAAAAAAATTTTTTAACAATATAATGATATGTTTAATAAAAACTAATCTAAAATAAAATGTCAATTTTTTTCGAAATTTAAAAAGACTGTAATTTTATCAAAACAAATAACTTTTGATTAAAGTAAAGAGAAAAGAAAAGAAAAGAATACAAGTTGTAAAATTTTAATAAATCATAATCACGATAATTTCTTTTTTTTAATTTTGCCTCAACACAACGTATAAATTTTTATATAACCATGCACAACCAACGAACGGTAAAAAAAAAAAAAGCTCTAGTCGTCTATGGTTTTTTTTACTCTATGACCAAAATATTTTTATTAATTACCGCTAAATGAACTTGTTATTGGCGGTAATTAGATACCAACTTAAAAAATGCAATCGAAAAAAAAAAAAAAAAAAAAAAAAAACAAAGTAGAAAGCATAGTGAGGGGTTCATATATATAATTAAAATGTATTGAATAAAATTCAAATTTAATTATAATTTATTTAGTTAACTCACCCGAAGTGTTTAAAAAATTAAAATTTATACTTTTATTTATATATAAATAATATTAGTGTTTGATTTAAAGTTAAGTTAAGTGTTGTAATTCTTTTCGGAATTTATCAAGTAAGTAACAAACATTTCATTTTCCCCCCTCCTGAATGGTTGACCAAATAACTTAATTAGATTTTATAGTTATAATTTATTATTATTTGGGAAAAAAAATCGTTTTAAATAATTATCTATGATGATATTAAAGATATCATATTATGTCACAGGTGTGTGTGTGTGTGTGTGTGTCTATGTACTCTTATTTTAGATTACATACATGATTGATAACAAATTTAATGTGGAGGGAAGGTAGATTAGGTTTAGCCTATTATTGAGGAAATTTATTATTATCATCTTTTAAATAAATAAAAATTTCAAATTTGAATACATATATAAACGACTATTAACGCATTTTTTTTATTGATTGATTGATTGATGATTGATTACCTCAGAACAAATCAATAATATATATTTGTATATGTTATTGATCATTAAAATCATGTTCTGTATAAAATAAATGTTTTTGAATGCTGCCCATTTATTTAAGTTAATAAAAAAAACTCTTAAACTTTTCATAAACAAATTTATAACAAATTTTTATAATGTTTTATTGATTTTAAGAGTACTTGATTTGTTTACAATTATTGACTCATTAACGGTTTTTTTGTTGTTATTTAATTTAAAGAACGTTGATAGTTTAATTATTGATAAGTGATAAGAGATAAAAAAAAACTCACCTTGATTTATTATTTTCTGTATAAACACTTCTATAAAATCCAACAATTGATTGTGTTAAACTTCCATTAAATTTCAATTCCATTTTATACAAGCCAGAATTCAATTTAGGTACTTGAATAATCCAAAATTCATGTTTTGAATATTCGAATGCATTTTTAACATCGATTTCCCGTTCGTTACTATCGAAAATCGTCGTTTTATGTATTGTCGTCGATTTAACATGAATGGGTATCCAATCTCTCGATTCCGTTAAATTAAATAATATTTTAACATGTCCTTTGAATAAACCATTTTCCATATCCGGATGTAAGTAAACATCGTAGGATATCGGTTTTATATCTTTTGGAATTTTAAGATCCTTTTCCCACGGTTTTCCTATGACGTCACCACCATCACCATCCATCATCCTCGTGTTCACATGGTAAAAATTCAACAGTAATAAAAAAACAAACGATAAATAATTATAATCCGGCAACATTTTATACAAATCGATATCGTATCGTATCGTATCGAATCGAATCGAAATCACTTTTGAGAGTAAGAAAATAATCGTCGAGTCGAACGTTCTTATATAATAATAATAAATCCTCTCAGATTTTTTTTTTTTTTTGCAAAATCCGGTTATCTATATGTTGAGTAATAATTAGGCTCGATTATATACGTAAATATTATATTCAATATCTGATAATAATAATAATAATAACAATCAAGTATTTAGAACGCGGCCATGTTGTTTGTTTCTCTCTCTCCCTCTCTCGTCAGTTCGCAACAAATCTCGTGATTTAAATAATGATTTGTAAATACTTGTACATATAAACATAACAAACAAAAAATATATTTAACAATAATAATAATAATAATAATAGTAATAATAATAATAATTGTTTCGTTATGCTGTCGTTTGATTTATATATATATATATATATATATACAAATTTTTTGTTGGTTAAATAGACTAGTCAATAATTTATACATTATTTACATCGTCAAAAATACGTTTAAATTGTTATTGAATCGATAGATCGATTCATCGATCGATTGATCGATAATCAAGAACAATAATATTCTATAACGGTTTCGTTACATTTAAAACATTTAACTTCGCAACACCATTCGAACGTGCAGTTGCAATGAGTTTCAATTATTTTTTCCTTTTTTCTAACGTCGTGTCCGCATCGTCTGCATAAATTTGAACAACTTTTCCTTTCCGGTACGGAAACTCCTTTTTTCTTTCTAGAACAAATCCTTTCCTTTGTTCCTTTCCAACCTGAATGAAAATAGGTAAAATAAAATTGTAAAATTTCATTTAAAATAAGAAAACGTTTTCGTTTATGTTTAACTTACCCATCGTGTGATTTTCTCGACAGTAGTTTGGTGATTTCTGAACGTACAATAAATTTTTAACGTTCGATTTGAAGGGGAAAAGTTGTTGGGATAATGCATTGCCGGAAACCGAATTTCCAATTCCGTGTTTACCCTTAACGACTTCGAAATCGAATCTGTCGGTTAATTGTTTGATTAGAAAAAGGAAATTCAAAAAAAAATTTATGAACAATTGTTTATATTTTACCTCACGGCATGATCGTATTTATTTCTTAAATCCGTTGCGATATCGTGAAATGACGCCATTTGCATCCAACAACTTTGTATAGTGCAACTTCCGGACATTCCGTGACATTTGCAATGTTTTTTCATTGACGTTCTAACGACCTTAAAAACCAAAACAAAAAAGTACGTGAGTGTGTGCGGGTGTGCGCGTGCACATCGGTTAAAAAAAAGGGGGGGAAAAAATGTTTACATGGCGTCCGATCGCGTAGTTGTGTAAATTCGTATAAGTTTGAGCATCCATTCCGGTTTCGGCATCGTCTAAAAATTTTTTCGAAACGTCTTCTCCGTGTTGGGGAAAATCGCTGCAACCCCCCCAAATGAAATTCTCATCTGTGAATTATAAATCGGTGGTTAATGGTTAGATGAAGGGTAAAGAACGTGAAAGTAAGGAAAGGAGAACGTACCTGTCGAACCGTTCAAATTAGGATCGCATCCGCAACCTTTAACACTTCCCGAAGAACAATTTTTAGTAACGACGTAATCGATAGCAGCCGACGTTATTGCGAGAACGTACGCGAATTCTCTCGTGGATCCCCAACCTTTGTTACCGTGTAAAAATGAACTTTCCGGACAATTCCAGGGATCCCATTTGAATTGTCGTTGACAGTGTTCCATGGCCATTTTCAAACCCGAACCAATATTTTCTCTCATGACGAAATTTGACGGCATCTTAAACAAAAATCGTTAAAAATCAATTACAAACGCGAATGTTTACGAAACAAAGGAAAAAAAACAAAGGAAAAACAAAAAGAAAAAACTTACGAAATTTTCTCTGAGTGCGTTTTTCATTCTTGCAGACCACGACGATGTTGTTTCAACATTTATATTAAAATAATTTATTATTAAAAATAAAAATAAAATTTTCATCATTATCATTTTAAACACTTTTAAATTTCATTCACTTCTTCTTGCTGTTGTCGTTTGTCGTTTGTTGTTGTTGTTGTTGACTCACAAAGGAAAGAAGAAAAAAAACCTTTCGCCTTCTTCAAGAGCCGGTGTTGTTATGATTTTTTTTCTTCTTTTTTCCGTGGTAAAAAAGGAACAAAAAAGAGAGCAACCCTTAAACGCGCCGTCATAAAAATTTCATTCATTGGTTTTTACATAAATAATAATAATAATAATAATAATGATGATGATAATAATAATAGATTTTATTGCGAATTCTAAGAAGATTTAAATTATTTTATATATGTATTTATACATAATCTATTAATTTTTTCGTTTTCCTATTCAAAAAAGGGCTTTCAGGTTTTTTTTTTCGATGCGTAATTCATCCCTCCCCTCCCCCTCAAAAGAAAAAAAATTTTATTTTTAGTCATTCTTATTATGTATAAAACATGGCGCCTAAGATTTGTTTCTCTCTCTCTCTCTCTCTCTTTCTATTTATATTGTGCGTGCGTGCGTGTGTTTTTGCATGCGTTTAATAATAATAATAATAATAATTAAATTAATTAAAAATAATTTATTGTAATAAATAACGTAATTAATATATATATAAACAATACAACAAACAAACAAACAAACAAACAAAAATTATTTTTTTCTTTCTTTTTCTTTAGGTGGAGAATTCATAAGGAGGAAAAATTTTTTTAATAACGAAAGTAAGTCACGTGATTTAATTATTATTATTATTATTAGAGGTTTTTATCATCGTGAGGGTATAATAACGTCATTGAATTGACGTCATCAGACGTCATATCTTTATCTCCCCAACCCCAAACGTTATTCATGTGATGATTTGGATCTGTGGAATGTTTTAACGTTCCATCTCCCGTTCTTTTCGCTCTTTTCTCTATTATCTCTCTCGAAACGGATTTCAAATCGTAGGCCCAACCGATTTTAGCACATAAATCTATGAATCCCGTTGTCACGTTGACGTTGTAGTTACCCAATTCTGCCGCTTTGTAATCCCACGGGAAAACGTGATGGTAATTGTGCCAACCTTCTCCCATTGCTAGTATGCCGACCGTGGCGTTTTCCGACGAGCTTATGTTTCTGTAATAAAAAAATAATGGAAGGTGAAAGGGTGGGGGGGCTTCGTGTAAGCTTCAAAATTGATTGTTTGGTTATGTGACGTGTCTTACTTATCGTACGGTTTAACTCCCCAAATGTGTGCTGCGCTGTTGACCAACCATGTTATGTGCAATGATAACATATATCTGAATATGCTGATGTACCAAGCGTTCCAAAAGGTTTCGTTGACTAAATAGTACGGTACGAGTGTTGGCATGACGAAACAGAGGAGAGGCATGACAATCAAATACGTTCTAAAAAACAAAAGACAATACGATTCGTTCGTTTCGATCGAGATGACCACCATGACCACAGCTACTACCACCATCAGCACCATCACCATCACCACCACCATCAGCACCATCACCATCACCACCACCGTTACTACTACCATCAGCACCACCACCACAGCTACTACCACCGCCATCATCACCTTCTTTGCCAAATCACGATCGGATCCTCTTCCAAATCGCTCATGTCGACAGTTTTTCCTTTCGTTTTAACATCCGGATGTTTTCGTATGAGCAACCATCCCATGTGAGAAAAGAAAAATCCTCTTTTTATGTTGTGGGGATCCGCATTCGTATCGACAAATTTATGATGGACTCTGTGATCACGAACCCATTCGTAAATATCGTTCTGTTGGAAAATCGAAAAGAAACCAGATAGATATACCTAACTAGAAATATCCTCGAAAACAGGTACCGGAAACAATAAAAATCTCCCCCCCCTCCCCTATAAAAAGCCTAATTTCATTGATTTATTTTTATTTTTTCTTGTTCCGACAGGTATCAAAACAAAAAACCTGCGGAAAGGGAACGCATTCCATTGTCCTCAAAACCTTTTTTTTTTTTTTACCTTTTTATTTTTAACAAACCGAAAAAGGGGAATGACCCATTTTATAAAAAAACAAAATGGCGGTTAGAAATTTAAAAATAATAATAATAATAATAATAATAATAATAATAATAATGTGAAAAAACAAGGGCACTCCTATGCATAAACAAATTCGAGTTTTTTATGTCGCGTCATTGTTTAACATGCAAATTCTTTGAGCACAAAAATTATTATTATTATTATTATTATTATTATTATTATTATTATTATTATTATTATTACTATTCCACGTGATAACAACTTGCAATTTTCTTTTAATAATAAAATATTTTGGAATTTTTATCGAACGTATTAATAATAATAATAATGATGATGATGATGATGATGATAATGATGAATTTTCATTACCTGAAAAGCCATAGTTTGAAAAATAACCAATAAAAGTCTCATCGGCCATTTTGCTTTGTATGATTTATGCGCCCATAATCTGTGAGCTCCGGCTGTGACTCCTAATGCCGCGCACAAACCCAAAGAAACATCTGGAAAAAAAAATGAGGGAGTGAGAGACAGATAGTGAGAGATAGTGTGAGTGAGAGAGATGTGCAAAAGGACAAACATACTCCAGAGTGTCGTGAATAATTTCGCTTGTCCAGATCCGATCAAATAAATGGCGTAAAAAAATCCTCCGTGTAAGTAAATGAATCCGAAAACGTTTCTCCACGATATTTTCCATTCGTACTTTTCCTTCACGTTATCCTGGAAAATTTCCGTCGTGCACGTTTTTCCACCTTTGACGACGTCATCATCATCGTTTGTTTCGGCAGCCAATAGCAATGCCTGACTCGTTATGTTTGGCGTCATCATCATTTGAAACGATCTTGTAAACAAAAACAAATTAAAATTTTTTTTTTTCACTTTTGTCGTCTGCTACGCGAAACCGTTTAAAAAAAAATCATTAATAAAAATGATAAAAAGGGTGAAAGTTAAAAAAAAACGTTTTTTTTTTTTGACAAAAATGGCGTCCGTTCGATTCGAACGAATACGTCGTCGTCGTCGACCGTTAAAATAATGATGATGATGATAATTTTTTATGAAAATATATATGTTTATTATTCATTGTAGGGAAAAGGATATTATTAATAATAATAATAATAATGTTTATTAACGGTTTTTTTGTTTTAAATAAAATGAAACTCAAAGTAGAAAGCAGCAAAAATTGACATTTTTATTTTTAAGGTAAAAACGGACGTGTCGCTTGAATAAAAAATGATAAAATAGAAAGTTTTCTTCTGCTTTTCTCTCTCTCTCTCTCTCTCTCTCTCTCTTTCGCGAGTTTCAAAAAAAAAAAACGTTTTCCGTTTTATTATTATTATCATCATCATTATCGGATGTTTTTTAATAAAAAAAAAAAAAAATCTAATCGATCGTTAATTATTTTCCACTGATACTACGACGAAAACGTCGAATTCAAAGAGAAAGCCGTGAGAAAAAGAGTGATAAAGATAGATAGATAGAGAGAGAGAGAGAAAGGGGGGGGGAGAAAAAGAAAATCCGTTAGGCTTTATTAAAAAAAAAAAAAAAATTGTTTAATTTGCGTGTAATTATGCGTTGGGGAAAAAAAAAGAGAAAAATTGTCATCATTATTCGAAACGTTCGCGAATCACGTAATAATTTAAATTTTTTGGCGCGTAAATTTCTTTTTCGCTTTTTTATTTTTTCAACGTAAATCCTTAATGAATTTATTTAATTAATTAATTAATTAAAAACCCACTTGAGACCGCTTCGGAGTAATAAAAAACAAAAACAAGGAATTTATTACTTGTATAAAGAAAGAGAGAGAGAGAGAGAGATTTCCGGTTTTATTATTTTCCCGCGTAATTAAGAACGGCGATAAATTTACGGGTCGCGGATTACTTTTTGTTTTTTGTCGTCAAATCAAAATAATTTTAATAGAAGACGAGGATTAACGTTTGTCGCAAAAAAACAAAAAAAAAATTCGTGGCATTAGAACGAATAACAAAAACAACTTTTGCGAAATGTAAAGATGATAATAATAATAATTTTTTCGGGCGTTGTTTTATTTTTTTTTTTTTTTTTTGTATTTCGGTTTATTTTTGAAGTGAGAACGAAACAAAAAAAAATTCTTTTTTGAAAAGGAAAAAAAAAAAAAAAAAACAAATTCCAATAATAATAATAATAATAATAATAATAATAATAATAATAATAATAAAATCCATTCGAAAGTTTCAAGAAGAAAAGAAATGAAAAGAAAAAGAATGAAAAAGGAAAAAAAAAATTAATTCAAAAGTTTTTATTATTATTATTATTATCATCATCATTGTTGTTGTCGTCATTATTATTATTATTATTATCGTTATTTAATTTTTTGAAAACTTATTAAATGACGTTGAGAAAACCGAATCGAATTCAATAATAATAATAATAATAAGGCCGGTGGAAAAACGGTAAAATTCATTTTGCAAAATTATCATCATCATCATTATTATTACTATTTTTTTTTTTTTCAAATTAAATTAATTTTTTTTTGTCGTCATAGTCGTCGTCGTTTCAAGCGTTAATTGATAACAGCAAAAAAAAATCGTGATCAAAAAAATTTAAAAAAAAAAAAAACGCGCGTAACGATGTTATTATCATTATCACGAACGTTATTTACGATTAAAAAAAAACGATGATGATTGCAAATTATGTGCCGTGAATGAAAAGAAAAAAGAAAAAAAAATGACTGTAACGGTGTATTGTTTTTAAAGGAAAAGGTCAAAGGTCGACTCGCTGACAATTCTCGGAGGGATGAAAGAGAGAGAGAGAGAGAGAGAGAGAAAGAGAGAAAGAGGTAAAGAGAGAGAGAGAGAGAAAGAGGTAAAGAGAGAGAGAGAAAGAGGTAAAGAGAGAGAGAGAGAGAGAAAGAGGTAAAGAGAGAGAGAGAGAGAGAGAGAGAGAGAGGTAAAGAGAGAGAGGGAGAGAGAAAATGAAAATCGTGCGAGATGAAATTTAATAATAAAAAGGAAAGAAATAAGAATTTTCTTTTTGACGAAGACGACAACGATGATGATGATGGTGATGATGATGATGATGATGGTGATGATGATGATGATGATGATGATGATGATGATTATAAGCCAACTGCGTACATGACGAAAATCGAAAAAAAAAAAATGCCGCGATGGGTTTGTCGAAAATGGGTCACGGTTCGCTTTTAAATAAATAAATAAATAAATAAACGTTTGTAATGGTCGCCATTTTGAACCCTTAAGAAAATTTCGAAGAATAAAAAATCGTGTCGAAGAATTAATTTTCTCTCTCTCTCTCTCTCTTTATCCCTATTATTTAAATTTTTTCTATTTCGAAACGATTATAATAATAATTTAAATTAAATATTATTTAGTCATCGAAATTTTGTTTTGTTTGTTTTGTTTGTTTGTTTGTTTGTTTGTTTTTGACGTGGCGAAAAGTACAAAAAAAAAAAAAAAAAAAAATTCGGACTCGCAAACAAAAAAATTTTTTTTTTACTCGCGTGCATAAATAAATAATAATTTTTTTTTTCGCGGTAAAACCGTTTTTCTCTCTCTCTCTCTCTTTTGTTTTGAAACATTAAAGAGTACTCGAAACAAAAACTTTTTTTATTTCGCGATAATTAAAATTTAATACTCGACGAGAAACAAAAGTTTAAAAGTTTTTTGTTTCGAATTAAATCCAAGAAAATAATGAGAAAAAAAAAAAAAAACGTTTTGTGTCGCCATTTTGAAAATAATAATAATAATAATAATAAAAGCGAAAAAAAAAAAAATTATAAAAAAAAAAAACTCACCAAATTTTTTGTTTTTGTTTTTCCCCCGAGACAAAACTGACTGAACACGACGAAGTTATCGAGTATATTGATGGTAAAATGTTTGTTTGGGGTCCATCATCAACATCCTTCTTTCTCTTTTTCTCTCTTTGTCTCTCTCTCTCTCTCTTTTCTCTCTCATCTCGTGCGAAAGGAATGGTTTAGTCTAAATCAGGCTCGTGGAAATGATTCGACAGTTTTTTTTTTTTTTTTCTTTTTTTTTTTTTATATTTAACGTTTTAGTGTGACAATGAACTTGACTTTCAGTTTGTATAAAAAAAACATCATCATCATCATCATCGCCATCGCCATCTTGGAATCTGTAATGTTAAATACAAAATCTCTTATTCGTTCGTTTTCTAAAATTATTTTTTATACTTAAAAGTATTTTACTCTCCCTCTTCGCCATTGGTTTGACGCCATATTTAATTATTTAAAAAAAAAAAAAAATCTCGAATTTATCGAACTGTAAAGATCGAGAATCGATATGTGGAAAAGTTTCGATAATTAATCGGTATTCGCTGTTCACGATGACGAGGGTTTTCCGGAGGGTGTGGAGGGTGGGAAGAGGGAGGGGAGGTGGGGAGGTAGGAAATAGGCGATAAATATTTTTTATCGTATGAGTTTCGTATTTACAATTATCGATATTACTCGTTTCTTTTCCGGTACTTACTAACAACGTTTACGTATCGATACGGTATTTAAATCTAGAAATCATTCTTTCAAAATAATAATAATAATAATAATAATGATGACGATGAATAATAATAAATACCGTAACAAGTGAACGACTTATTTATATATATATAAATAATAATAATAATCGTATTCGATATTATTTATTACGACGATTTATTTCCCCTCCCTCCCCCTCTTTTTTTTTTTTTTTTTGTTTTTTGTCACGTTCTCGTTTCTTTTTTTTTTAAATTTTTATGGTTTTGTGTAAAATGGGTTACGAGGCGGCGATAAAGTAATAAATTTGAAAATGCAAAATCACTCTATAACACGGTCATAAGAATAAAAAAAAAAAAAAAAATGATGGTTGGTTAATTGCAGCACGCAAAACACTTTGAACTCTTTGATGAAAACAAAACAATTCTTTGGTGTTTTTTTTCGTTACTCCCTTCCCCTCCCCTCCTACACCCCCGCATACGTGCAAGAATGATTGATTGTTTTAAGAAAAACAATTATTATAAAAAAAATTTTATATTAAAGAAATTTTTTATTTTACATATAGAATGGGGGCCTACTATGGTAAAACAGTTTTTGTTTACGTGAAATTTTCGCTTGATTCACTGACATCTATCGGAATCTAATCGAACTATTTGTACAAAAATCTAAAAGAATTCGATTCGAAAATGTTTAACGTTTTTTTTCCGTTTCGTTTTGAAATCGATATCGGTTTTATCATTTATAAATTTACTTATTGATTAATCGAACGTGAGTTTATATTTATTAAATGTAAACAATGTATTTTACGGAAAATTATATTTTCCGAAACGTTATTCAAACGCGTGATACGTAAATCTAAATTCACGTTCGAAAGGTAAATATTTGTTTTTCGCAAAAAAAAAAAAAAAAAAACGCAATTTACGTTGGTAAAACTTTTTTGTTTGTTGGCGCGCCTGATATTTATTATATAGTTTAATTACGTAACGTAATAATAATAATAAATTTATTATTTTAATTTTAAAACGGTTACGAAAGTTGGGGGGAGGGGGGAAATCAAATTTTAAAAAAAAAAAAAAAAACCGGAAACGTTTAGCGCTAATTTAAACAGGATTCACACACACACACACACACACACACACACACACACACACACACATACAGGCATGGTAGGGTAATTAATTATTAAATGACATGTTTAACAATGCGAAATGATACGGTACGACGTTTAACTTAAATTTTTTTAACATTTCTACAAAATCATAAGAAAACATAAAATCGATACGTAATAACCAAATGAAAAACAATCATTTTTAATTACGCGAGTCAACAATGTAATTACGTCAGTCGCATC